GCGGCATAGACGAGGTCTTGGAAACGATCGTGGAGCGAGGTTAACAAGATCGAATTCGTATTGGAGTCGTCGGCACAGTGATGGGTCATGCTCTGTGTGATCTGCGGGCCGTGAATCTTCTCTCGACCATTAAGAACCTGACCGTAAACTATAGCGGCATCGGTGCGGTGAGTGCCTATTCGAAGCTACTGTTTCATTTTGCGGCACAGTCGACTGCCTTGAAGGTCTTTCAGGTCAACCTGCTGCCACTCATCTACAAAGAGACCTGCGACAGTATAACCGAATTTTTACGAGCCACGACGACGGTCGAAACCTTTCATTTCAAGTCTCTCATGAGCAACCTCACCATGGTGGATAGCGTCATGATGGCGATGGCAGAGAACCGAAGCGTGGTCGAGTGGTCTTGTGCAGACTGCGTGATTTACCCGCAAAGTCTACCGGTTCTGCTCCATATGCTGCGCACCAAGAAGACGCTCGCGTACTTGGAGATGTCGGCATATTTAACTGCGGAAGACTACGGGCAAATTGCGTCCGCCATGTCCAAGAGTATTCTCAGACTCGCTATGCAAAACGCATACGAGGACTTTGGAGTTGGCGAGGTGCTTCGCCAAAACCTTCTGAGAATGAACAGGGCCGTCGAGTTTGTAACCGACCCGGAGGACTTTGTCGAGTGCGAGTGTGTACGTAACTTTGAAGACGTGCTGGACACCGCCTCGTTTGCAAGGCACTTTGCTCAGGCTCACCCCCAAGACAATAGCCGCTTGCCATCGATGTTGGCGCGCGCCAAGCGGTCTATCAAAGAACGTTTTTTCGAATTTAGCGGAATTTGCAGAGACAAAGTCCCGCTGTGCGAGTCGAGTGGCAAGCCTATTCTAAACTACGAGTGTTGGCAGCACGTCTTTTCTTTTCTCGCTCTCAACAACGTGGTGTGGTGAATAAAAATGTACAATTCGTAATCTACTTGGTGGTGTATTTATCGACCTAGCTAGAGCAACAAGTCTGCTCTAGAGTAGCATTTATTAGGGCCCTCTTCTCATTAATGGCATTGGTAAAAATATTAACCCGTACCGATGAGTTGACCTTTCTAATTACTGATACCGACACGATCGACCTGATATCAGAATCAAATAGTTCTTGCATAAATATATAAAGATGCATGCACGCACAATGTCTACTGGCGCATGCATCTCTTTTTATCTATGCTTTCTTTTACCCGAGAAGGTGTGCAAGCATGCTTTTAAAGCGTTGCCTCGAGCCCAGCTTTTTTTTTTTTTCTGGGCGACGGCCAGAGTTTCTAGAGCGCACAATCGTCTGCCTCGATACAGGCCGACAAGTGTTAGAGACCACTCGGGCCGTCGTCTTAGGTAACTATTAATATTTAATCAAACATAAGGAGAGAGCATAAAGATGTTTATTTGATGTCCTTTAGCTTCAAATACGAGGCGACCGCCTCCCAACATTCTCTGTTTAAAAATGGAAAGGCACACAGAGACATTTCACTGTCACATATTCTTGCCAGTTGAAAAAAGTTTTCACGAATGTAGCGGCGAGCCCGCGCCAAGACGTCCACTTCACTCGAGTTGACATTCACACAACAGCCGTCCTTGGACGTAGATGGTGATGGGGGGCTTACATCGCACAGCAGAGATTCCAGAGCCCGCACGTCGTACATGTCCGGAGCAGCATCCGCGACGCTTGGATCGGCCACAAACTCTGCGGCCCTGTTCAAGAGCCACCTGTTGTGTCGCACTGCCTCTTGTATGACAAACACTCCCGATCCTCCGGGGCGACGGTTGTAATCATCTTTTCGCAGCTCGACACATCGGAGCCGAGGGTTCAGTCCGTCGAAGCCAGCGTAATAATCGATGCCGCGTGGCGTCGTCGACAAGCACAGTTTAATCAACGTCTCGTTGTTTTTGAAAACTTTGTAGAGACTTCGCAGGGCTCCCGAGCTCGCGACGACACACTTCAACCATTCGAACGATTCTAGTCCGTGGTTTTCCGATAAGCCTTCCAAAACCGTCTTTACGACCGACTGGCGTTCTTGTCCACACGTGACCGAGCGTCTTCAGAGTCTTAGAGTCTGCTATGAAAGCGGCCACCTTTTCAGCCACACTGTTCAAAAAGTTGGAAAAGATATATACGTGTTGCACGTGCGGGGAGGCGCGGAGGGCGTCAAACGTCTCACCGAGGTATTGGTGAACCTCGCGTGACATTCCATGTTCGATGGTTACGTATTTAAATTGTGCCAATAATTCTACATTTATGCGGCTATTACACAAAACGGCCAAATGTAAGCGCTGGCACTGACCTCGGTCGATGGCCAGCTGCGCCAATTCGCCGAAATCTGTCACGTCACCAAGCCTCATGACTTGTAGGCTCTTGTTGATGGATAAAGCCTCTATCAAAACCCGTAGGCTGCGCGTAGACAAGGCTATGTTATCTCTTAGATTAATTTCGATTAAAGACCGATTATGCGCAACGGCCTCAGCCAGATAGGATGCCGTATCGTCGTTTAGGTTGGTGAAATTGAGTTCGAGCGTCTCGATCATGCAATTTGTCTTCATCAACAATCGCGCCAATTCAACGACGGCCTCGTTTTGGAAGGAAGCGCCAATCAACTTTAGGCGTCTGATAGACGTCATTGCGCGCAGAAAATCTGCCTCTATTATACCTCCGGTAAAGTATAAGCTTTTGAGGGCGCAGCCCGGCCTCTCTAGCATCGCTTGCACGGACCTCAGATCTACAAAATCAGTTTCGTAAGATAACTCCTCCAGTCCGATTTGAAACTCTGATATCCACCTCAACAGGTGATTTGTGAATGCCTCAGACATGGTGGTGATATTTATTTATATTTACGATACGTAGATTACGGAGGTGTTCAATGGCCCGATGCAGATCCATCATGCCCACGGTTACTTGCGCCATGTCAGACATGTCGGTTTCCGTGCAAGTTTCATCTACAACCAATTTACTAATAGACGAATTTTGGCGTATACCGCACAAAATCAAATCTTTAAACATTACGGTACTTTTGCCTACCAATTTCGAAGCATTTCGTCGAATTACGCACGAATGTTGCCTGAAGAGAAGGTACATTATCATGGCCGCCTCCGATTCCTTGGTGTAGTTCATGTCGTCCTCCACGCCTTCGCCCGTGTTCACACATTCTACCGCAAGGCTTTTTGCTGAAATCTCGACAATTTCAAGTCCCACGACAAAAAGTATAGCATTAATTGCTGTTAAGACGTGATGCATTAGGAGTAGCCCGCACGTAGACCCGGAACTACATCCCCTCTCCAGTACAGGGAATGCGGTCTTCACGGTCTCGTACATTGTCCACCTGCTGACAGTCTGGAAAAAAACAAAAACCTGTCTATATAATAATTGAATCGAAATACAAAGAAGAAAAGAAATACCTGATGATCGAGCTCCATAGCTCTACTGGAAGTGGTGGATCCGAAGGATAGCGAGGAACTCCTGATCGTTGTCTAATTGACAGCGTGAGTAGTAGTCGTGTCGCGATGTGGGTAGTCGTGTGTCGTGTCGAGTGGCGATCGCTTAAATATCCGATACCTCCTTCTTTATTTGCAATATCTCTATTCCGACGTCATTGATAAATAAAGTGTTCCGAGAAAATCCACTCGAAATAGCGTCCTTCGATGCATAAACTCCTCTATACTGATAACATCTGGCACGTCGCTTAAAAAAGTGGCCGCCGGCAGTAGGAGAGGAGGAGCGGAGGAACTTTGCTAGCGCCACACAAGAGCGAGTGGACAAACGAAGAAACAATTGTTTTTTCTTTTTTTTTTGGAATCGCGGAGAGGACGTCAACCCTTTCCCTTCGCCGTCCTCCTGCGATCTGGCACGTCGCTTAAAACAGTGGCCGCCAGAAGGAAGTACGAAAGGGCAAACACGAGCGCAGCGCAATTTTTTGCTTCACACTAAATCTTATATCGACCCTAGTACATGTTAATGTCAACGCTATGGGAACAGGTGCATCCGTCTACCTTTTCCGTAAAGCAGCCTTCTGGAGGCGTTAGCTAACTCTGGCGTGAAACTTTCGCTTTAAAAAGTAAAAATGCATAAAGTTTGTTTCCAACGCGTAACAAAACTTGCGCAGCGCAATTTTTTGCTTCACACTAAGTTTTATATCGACCCTAGTACATGTTAATGTCAACGCTATGGGAACAGGTGCGGACAAACGCAGAAACAATTGTTTTTTTCTTTTTGGAATCGCGGAGAGGACTCGCCGTCTCTGCGCCGCATCTACCCTATTGTTTGCCGCTTCGCGCGCTTCTCCTCTCCTTTTTTTTTCTGCGACCGCGCTCGTAAGAATGGGCGCGGAAGAACGTCTTTCGAAAGAGGAAACACTTGCGCAGCGCAATTTTTTGCTTCACACTAAGTCTTATATCGACCCTAGTACGTGTTAATGCAAACGCTCTGGGAACAGGTGCGGACAAACGCAGAAACCATTGTTTTTTGTTTTTTTTTGGAATCGCGGAGAGGACTCGCCGTCTCTGCGCCGCATCTACCCTATTGTTTGCCGCTTCGCGCGCTTCTCCTCTCCTTTTTTTTTTCTGCGACCGCGCTCCATATGGCTCTGCCGTCGATGTCCCAGGCTTTTTTTCTCCGTATAGAGGAGGCTATGTTCAAGGTCTTCCACATACTCGATAAGACAGTTTTAGTAAATACTGCCCACGACACTGATAACGATACCCGATAATCCGCCTCCCTTGCGTATGCAAAATATCAATATCGGGACTATCGGAACAATCCACGAAAAAACTCTATTGTTGCGCGTGACATGGTGGCCGATTATGTGGCGTCGTTTTAGTGTTCGCATATCACTACTTCCAAGGCCGCGTTCTGCTTCGAGTCGGCCATGGTGGTGAAGCCGAGTTAAACCTCGGCTTCATAGCGATCTCGAAGCGCGTAATACCGACGAAAAAAAAAATCACCACATGTGCAACCAGAAACGTCATTTTTATTCCTTTCTCTTAAATCATCACGTCACTGAGTCGCAAGTATGACGCCACGTGGTCCCAACACTTGTAATTCAGGAATGGTCGAGCGTCAAACACCATGTCGTTGCTAACACGGATCAGGCGAAAGAAGTGATCCCTCACATATCGGCGATACCGGATTAGGGACTTGGAAAGCGGTAGCGGACAAATGTCTCTCATGGTGGCGTAGTGATGAGCAAACCCCGTGGTGTAGAGAAGCGGTTCCAGTTCCTTCACGTTAGCTGCTTCCACCATCACGGTGTGGTTTGGACGCATCAAGAGTCCCATAGCCCTGTTCATTCGGTACGCGTTGCGGCGTAGCGTCTCCGCCACTTCGAAACAGCACTGATCGTCTATCGAATCCAACGTCAGTACGTTGGGGCCAATTTTTTGGGCCATCTTTCGATAGCTTTTGCCTGTGAGACCTAACTTAATTCCTATGTGCACGAGGGTACGATTTTTAGACAACATTCGAAATAATTGTCGCTTTGACGCATCCGTGATCAGGCCATAGCTCCACACAATCCGCGTGATGCTTTCGTTGCGCGCAAGAGCAATCAGTATGACTTTGGCCACGTCGGGATGCACCACATTGCTGTCGAATTGTAGAGTATCGATGCTCTTTGTGCGCGCGATCAGTCTCGCCAGTCCATGGATCGCACGCATAGACACCATATATGGCAGGTTGACGCAGAGTCGCTTTAACGTCGTCGACCTTTCCAACAACGCGCACATATTCATAAAGTCCCCGTCGTGACATTCACGGCACGCTATGGACAGTCTCTCGATGTCTTGCAGTTTCGACTCCACGATCGCATGCAGGCCGGGCGATATCAATTGCATGACATACACGTCTATGCGATGAAACGTGTCGGTCACGCCCATACAGTCGATCAACTGACGAAATATCTCGCCGTCGTACAGCTTTAACTGACGCAAGTTGTCGTTGGAGGTTAAGGCTTCGACGATGTACCGATAACCCACAGCGGTGATTTCGTTCATTTCGACGTTCAATACTTGAAGGCGCGGATTGCTTCTCAGACAGTCCCCCAGGTACCGAGCCGAATCGTCCGTCAAGCCGCAGACATTGAGCGCGAGGTCGACCAAGATTTCGCTGCTCGCGACGACGTCTGCGATCATCCGCGTCATTTCGGTAGTCAACTCGAAGGCGGAGAGTTGGAGACTCTTCAAGGTTGCGTTTTTCGCCAGAGCACACATTAGTTTCATGTCGGTTAGGTATTTGCGCAAGCACAATACCAGCTGCAAGTTCTCCAAGACGCAGATCGGACTCTCGAGTATCTTGCATATGCTTCCGAGAACATCTGAGTTGATCGGATTGTTGTACACGAGTCGCTTGAGGTACATAGGCCTATCGGCAAGGTATCGAAACACGTCGTACGAGCCAAAATCGTTCAGTGCAAACTCGACGTGTTCTAGCGGCAGAGAAGCCAGGGCGATGTTAAAGTCATTTACGCTCGAAAACGGTACATTTGCGTTGACGAGAACGAGCTTTCGAAGATTCTCGAGAGCATGCAGCGACTTGAACAGCATGCTCTTCATAGTTATTGCGCTTTCCGTACACGTAAATTCCTTCACACCGATGCTGGCCGAAAGTCCCTCGTAAATGACTTTGTAATACGGACTATTTAAAGCATACGCCGACAGGCGCACGTACCTGATACACTTGTGCATTTTCAGGATTAGATGCAGCAATATAACGGCTTGCGTTATGTTACACTTTCCCGACAGTTTGTGACAATTACAGTGTCCTACGAGTTCCACAAGAGCAAACTCCCCGGGTTTCACTTCCTTCAGTTCCATCTGGAGGCAAAAGAGGATGACGTTGATGGTCCACAGGTCCTTGAACATCCAGCATAATTGGTCCTTTGCCTTGACACACGACGATTGGAACTTGATGCCTTGCAATCCAAACTCTCGTGTCAGCACGTTCGAGGGGTCTCGAGAGCGTAAATATTTGACAAAACCTTGACGGCGCTTGGTAACTCTCTTCATGTTGGAAATCTAGCGTCTGTAGTAGTTTGAATGTTCCTTCTTTTATACCCACAGGATGACCTCAAAAAAAAGACTTATCGTATCATCGTAGGCGACCTTGAAACACCAACGGGATGTTGCTCAATGTGACAGAGGCAGGCGTCGCGAAAGTTTTTGTGGTGGACCTTATTACTACGTGCAAACAAGTTCTGCACGTAGTAATAAGGTCGTCTAAAGATTTTTCGAAAACGACGTCGCTCAATTTAAGTTTCGAAGACACTTATTGTGTATTGTGAACGTATTGGCGATAACGCTTCAACAGTTCGGGTAGTCGACCATCGCCAACCACCCGAGCATAGTGCTCGGCAAAGTAGCTCGTAAAAAGGACGCTTTCCAGTTTCGCGACAGTACTGACGGGTAGGTTTGCCGTCACGCAATAGGGGTCTCTAACGAGATCTAGAGCCCTGTAGCAGCGGTAGAGATTCCTCCCGAGAACCTCCTTCATCGGAAACGACCGATAGGTGGACGCGTAGTCGAACGACAGGATGTTCTCGCCGATCGCACGAGCCACCTTTTCGTGCGCGTTGGGGTGGACGCCGATGGAGAGGTCGATAAGAGTCTTGTTTTTTCGAAATAGCTCTTCCAGAGCGTTGAGTAGATCGCTCTTCCTATCGTCTATCACGCACTCTGGCCACCGGAACACGACCACGCTTCGATTATCGGCCAAAGCCTTAAAGATCGAGGTCGCCATGCAAGTGGTGCTGCACGGCGAATCGATGTAAAATTCGCGAACGGACGTCGTTTCTTTGAGAAAATCAGCTAGGGTGATAAAGTTTGACGCGATCTCGTCGCTTGGTGGGAAATTCACGTGCAACTTTCGTAGAGATTTGGACTTGAGTAGAATCTTGCATGTGTCGTAGAGGTAGTCGTCCCAAAAAAGTTTCATGGTGCGAATGGAGTCGAGGGTCCGTCCGCCCAGTTTGGCACACGACGCCTGCGTCGGTTTCTCTACGCTCATGACGTGCAAATCGTATCCCCAAAAAGGGTCGAGCGAGTCGTAGTTGCACAGTAGCAACTCCCGTTTCCTATCACCTACGACTGGACAGTGGAATGTCAACGCTCGTAGCAATGCCGACTGAGTGGCGTGCGAAAGGTTGTTGTAGCTAAAGTCGACATTGAGTAGAGTCCTATTCGTACTCAGACCGCGGGCGATGGTCCTTACCGATGTGTCGGTCAGAGCGCATCGCGACAAAACTAACGACTCCAACTCTTCGGGGTTCGAGGCGATATAGTCCGAGAGACGCTCGACGAACGACGGAGGGAATTGTGAACCGTCGAAGTTCAGTCGTCGGAGTGTTTGGTTCTCCGTCAGGGCGTTTGCAAAGGCTACAGCGGCGGCATCCCGCCAGCGGCATTTTAGGGTCAAGTCTTTAACGACGCAACGTTTGTGTCTCAGGATCTGACATAGGCCGCTAGCGTAGTGATTGACCACACACGACTCTAGACGCAGCGTCTGCAGATGCCTCGGGTCTCGTGCGACGTCTCGTAAAAGATCTACGGGCTCGTCTCCTCTGTTTATCTGAACGAGTTCTATCCACTTTAGGGGAAGACGCGCCAGCAATGCGGCGAATTGGTTTTGGCACGGCACGTTTGTGCAGACGAGGACGAGCTTCTCCAGTCTGGTCAGGGTTCCCCAGGCGTCGAGGAGTTCGGACGGCAACTCCTTAAAGACATTTATTTCGAACGCACGCAGTCCCCGGTTGTGTTTCATGGCTCCGTAAAGCCGCTTGGTAGTCGAAGATCCGATTACGTACTGCGAAAACTCCACACAGCGTATGCACGAGTGGTAGCGTAGGAGCGAGTAGAGCAGGTTGCGGCAGTCGTAGTCCGGGCTGCGAAAGTCGTTTGTGTTTTGGAAAAACACGATTCTCGAGAAGTCCCTCAGGGCGAAAGCGCCTGGCTCGTCGATCGTTTCTTTCAGCTCCATGCCGACTGTGTAAAGGATTGAATTCATCAGTGTTATTTCGTGCCAGGTCCAACAAGGTCCCTTGCCTTTCTGCGTACACGTTCGGTTCGCAAACTCCATTGTCACACGCCTGTTGGATATTTTTTTGCGAGTCGATAATCCGGTTCTTTATATGATTTCAATCTGGACTTTTGAAAGCTCCGGAAGCTCCAATGGCTTGAATGTGGAGACGGTTACCGCGCGCGCCGATCTAACTCGTTCGTCTAAGACGCGTACAATCTTGTCTTTTCTGGGTTAGTTTTCCACAATGTCCCTAAAGATGTACATGGTTTCGCTGATGGAATGGGGACTCCCTAGCTTATCCAAGGCTACGGCCAGCTGCCTGTATGTGTCGAAGGTATCGAAACTTTTTGCAGGTTTCGAAGGAGTGAGTTTGACGTTCGCAATCGTTTGGGCCATGCGCTCGGCAATGTCATCTGTGCGGAAGCTGATGTTTGAATTCTTGTTGCCAAAGCCGTCGAGCAGTGGAACGATTCGTTCCAAGTCGGACACCCTCTTGTTCTGCCAATACGCGCAATTATTCAGGTGGTAGTTTTTGTAGAACGAGTCTAGTCGCGAGTCGCTGCCTCGTTTGTCAAACATGTGCGAAACGGTCACGTAGCCATCGGACTCGAACGTTATATTGTCACGGGTGGTGACCAAACAAAAAACAGGAAATAAACAGAAAGAAATAAACGTTTAATGTGGCGAACTTGTGCCAAAAAATAAAGAAGGAAACAGAAGAAAGCAGAGCGTCGCGGGCGTCGAAGTCGGCGTGTCAGCAGAATCGAGCGCTGGGGCGAGACTGACTCGACAAGGTCGCGGGCGGCCTCTTATCTAGAGTGCTCCGCTATCTCGAAGATTCGGCGAAAGCGGTTCGAGCGTCGCGTGATCGGGGCGAGAATGAACACGCACTTTCTAGAAAACAAAAGCAGGGATAAATGATAGAAGTTACGTGCGGTACATGAATAAACGGGAACTTTCTGGAGGACCGTGACCGAGCGTTGCTTTCTCAGCCTTGCGCGCGGCAATATTTAATGGATAGGAATCAGAGGAGGAAGGTGATTGTATAAAAGACTTTGCGTGCGGTGACGGTTCTATAAGGTTAATCATGCCTTGTGAAGCGATTGCATCGCCATCGACGGTTACGTTCTTGTATATGTAATACTTGTAGGCTTTTAAAGATTTGTTTGTCACCTGAATGTCCTGAGGCAGTCTGGTGCATAGGTCCATCGTTTTCTTTCCGCTATCGTTTTCGTAAATCCAGTACTTTACGTTCGAGCCAAATACACCCGTCTGCGATCCGCCGTACTTGATGGGTAGAGAAGTCACCATTCGCAAGGTGCCCACATCGAGTGGCATCGTAGAAGTCCCATATTTTAATTTGAGTATAAACTTCAACCACAACTTTAGATTTTCCAAGTCGAAATGCATTACAGGTTCGTAGACGGATATCGTATCGTAGCCCCTATCTACGAAGACCGCGTGTTGGGAAGGTGCGAATGCATTATTAGCGGACCCCAAAGTAGGTTTAAAGGTTTCTCCGACCGTGTTTATCGTGCGATTCCAATCCCCGTCGCCGTCGTCAAAGTGCTGCAGGACCAAGTCTTTAATCTCGTTTACCAAGGGCTCTAATCCGGGCAGGCGATATTGTTTAGAAACGGTGCATAGTCTTTCCGACAGGTTTGTTGAATCGACGGGACTCTCCAATTCGATCATGGCGTCGTACAGGTTCGCCAGAGCGTCAGTGCTTTCCTCGCACATCGCGAAAGCATCCGTCCAGAGTCTTTCCTTCAAATAGACGCGCGATCCGTGAGCGTTAAAGAAAGATACGGGGTCCATGTACAAGTTGTCTATACATCTAAATTTGTCGCGCAGAACCTTGGACGTTCTGTTCGAGAGCCACGAGTGTAGTGTTTGCTTAAACCTTTCCTTAAACTTGGCGATTTTCGCTTGATCATTGCCAATGTCTCGCGTAAAGTCGGCGGGATAGGACGACGCCGGTCCGCAGGGCCGCGAAAAGATCAAAGAGGTAAACATGTTGTAGATTGATCTGTCTACACACGCGGCTTCCAGAGCGTACCTCTTCACGCAATCGTTCTTAAAGGCCGATTGCGGATCGTTGGTCGCAGGGGTGCTCTTGCCGTAGAGCAGTTGCAAGCACAAGGCCATGCGCACCCACTTGCTGGACAAGACGCTACCGTCGGTGTCGCCTCACCAGACCAGGTTATCTCCGTACAAGGGCTCGTACACGAGGGACCGGAGCACCGACGCCGCGTTGGAGTATTTGGCCGCTACGAATAAGTTGTTGTTGTGGGACATGCGCCTCAACAGGTATATTTTAGCGGGTGTGATTACCACGTGTTCGTGCAATGTTGCTACTATTTTCGCTTCTGACCGCGATCGAAGCGTCCTATATAGACAGAATAAAGCTCGATCAGGTTTGTTGGGAGCCTTGTCCGAACGTAACGGATTACATGCCCTCCAAAATTTTATATCACGGTGCGATCTCGTTGTACGACTATAGAAAGAGTCGGAAGGGATCATTTGGGTGTCCGCAGACTCCCCTGCTCCGCATCGACAACAAGCTGTTTGACTTTGGTGCACATTTCAATCTATCCGAAAATGGACGGGGCGTCTACCTTCTGGAAACGTCGGAGCCGTACTTGCACTTGTGTACAGACTCGCCTTCACCGCTTAAAGTGCTGTGCAATACGCGCGAAGGTTACTATGAAATCTTCGACAGCAATCCGCCTGTTCACCCGTACATTTACGAAGAGTGTAAAACGCCTAGTATGCGGTACGATTACTATAGAAAGAGTTACTTGCAGTGTTCGAAGCGACGATACTACATCGGAATTGGCGAATATGTGACCTTGAAGTGCGACGACACCGTTCAATACTACATTTGCGGAGACCCGGGCATCTACCGCCACGCGTTCACATTGAGTGAGCGACAAGGAAACGATTCAATGAGTGCGTGTAACGACGTCGATTACGTGCTCCGACAACTCAACGAACGCGCCGATAGTACTACAGAGGAGGTCGAAGGTAGCGGTGACGGCGACGACACGCGAGTGAACGACGAGGACTTTGTTACTACTTCTCCTCCTCCTCCTACTACTACTACTACTACTACTACTACTACTA